GTAGTCGTAGTCGTAGTCGTAGTCGTAGTCGTAGTCGTAGTCGTAGTCGTAGTCGTAGTCGTAGTCGTAGTCGTAGAGTAGTAGTAGTAGTAGTAGTAGTAGTAGTAGTAGTGTAGTAGTAGTAGTAGTAGTAGTAGTAGGTAGTAGGTAGTAGTAGTAGTAGTAGTAGTAGTAGTAGTAGTAGAGTAGTAGTAGTAGTAGTAGTAGTAGTCGTAGTCGTAGTCGTAGTAGTAGTAGTAGTAGCAGTAGCAGTAGCAGTAGCAGTAGTAGTAGTAGTAGTAGTAGTAGTAGTACTAGTAGGTGTTGTTGTAGTAGTAGCAGCAGCAACAGTAGTAGTAGTGGTGGTAGTAGTAGTAGTTGCTGTAGTAGTAGTGGTAGTAGTAGTAGTAGTAGTCGTAGTCGTAGTCGTAGTCGTAGTAGTAGTAGTAGTAGTAGTTGTTGTTGTAGTTGTAGTAGTTGTAGTAGTAGTAGGTGTTGTAGTAGTAGTAGCAGCAGCAGTAGCAGTAGTAGTTGTTGTTGTAGCAGTAGCAGCCGTAGTAGTAGTAGTAGTAGTAGTAGTATGATTGTGGTGGTTATTAGAATTGTTAGCCACATGTGCATTAGCATTCGTAGTCTTACCATTAGTACGATTAGCATGCGCACTGGTCGTATTATTGTTATTCATATTAGCCGTATTAGTCTTAGTATGGTGTTTCTTTGTGGCGGTCGTATTTTTATTATTACTAGTATTACCGCGCTGCGTCTGAATAGCATTGTGGTTAGTGCTCGCGGCAATACGTCCATTATTGATTGTGCTTAGTATTAGTATGATTACGATGTGTTGTAATCGTGTTGGTTGTTATGTGTATGATTAGTCGTATGTTTTTCTGAGTGCGGATGTAAGTATTATGTGTTGTCGTATTCATGCGAGTATTACTGATCAGACCGAGGGGGCGAACGGTCATTCATTATCCTTGGGTGCGTGGCTGAAGTGAGAATATTTGGTGAGGGTTATGCTTGTTGCGTTGTTGTTTTTGGTGGTGTTGCTGTTGTTTGCTGTCGTCGTCCCCCCCGCGACCCACCCGCGACCCACCCCGCGACCCACCATGCGACGCACCCCGCGACCCACCCCGCGACCCATCCGCGACCCAACCGCGACCCACCCGCGACCGACTTGCGACCCACCCGCGACCCACCCCGCGACCCACCCGCGACCGATCCACATTGATTTGACAAAAAAATCTGTGCCTGCGGCGGGCTCGTTGTATACTTGTGAAACTTTGGCGCCTGCGGCGGGCTCCTCCAGAGACGTCCCCACCGCCCACATCACTCTTATCCGCATCTGCGGGGTGCTACGTATTATTCTCGACGCTCGTGGTGACGAGTCCCTTGACGACGAGTGGGCCAATACACCCGTCCGCCAGGGCCGCGGCGGTCTGGTGAAGCAGCTGCTGCGAATGTTCCTGCTGCTAGCGCTGCTGGTGTGGAGCCTGCGCCTGCGCAATCGTTCGCGAATGCGGCCCGCCAGAGCCCTGGCTCGAACTCCGCGCCTCCGCGATCGTGGAGCGCCTCGGGGCTGCGCGGAGCGTCGTCGAGGCTTTGCCCGACGACGAGCCCCGCTGCGGTGGCGACCCTCGGCTGCTGCTGCGGCTCCCAGATTGCAGGCAGGGAGGGGTCGCAGTGGGAGATGGTGAGGGCCCAGCTGTTTCGCGCTCTGGCCCGCCGCCCCTCCTTCCTCCCCGCACACGGGGGTGTTTTTTCGGCATGTTTAGTCCGACGGCACGGTCGGGGACCTGGCACCTCAGGTGGCGGCCAGGTCCTTGCGGTCGCGGCCACCCTTGGCCGAGTAGTTTTGCGAGACTCTTCCCCTCGGGATTGACCTACCTACCTACCTTATCATCCCTTTCCTCATACTCTTCCGTTGGACTGGAGTCCGCATGACTGGTTGAAGGAGTGTAGATCGCTCCAGCGACAAAGTCCTCGTTCACACGAGAGCAATACATTCGTTGATGGGAAAGCATAATTGTGCACGATGGGATATGAGAGCACGGTAGGGTGATAGGACGTTCTCGGGCACAGGGCGTGCGAGAGAGAGCCACGAATCTGGATTGCGGGCCGATATGGCCCGGTCGAAATCCACGTGCCAATGTCGCTACGAATTTGGGGTGGCATTCGGAGCTTCCTGCGCCGTCTAGGGCGTTTTGTAAGACTGAGACGTCGCGTCGACGGGTTTTGAGCGATTTGGGCAACCTCTTGGGTTTCCCCCCTTCTGGCCCCAACCCCCTGCTCCCCCCCTTGTCCTCTCTTGCTCCCCCTCCCCCTTCCCCCCCCCGTCCGTTGCTCTCCCGCGTTCTTTCCCACTCCTCCACATCCCCTCCCCGCATCCCCTTCCCCCCTTCGCCCCTCGCTCTTTTGATGCACCGCCCCGCGCCCATGCCCTGGGGCGCGCCCACGGACAAAACCACACCTGCCACAGGAAGGGGCTGGCCCTGCGACGCCCGCCGTTGCCTGCTGGGTCGGCCTTGGTACCTGGGCACGCACCGCGCAGCAGCATGCGAATTCGTTTCCGAACGTCGTGGCGCAAGGCTGCCTCGCCTTCGTCGAGCTGTATTTCCCACTCGCGCGGCTGATCTACATCGTCTGGGTGTTCGTGTTTGTCGTCTTCGGCGCGGCGTGTCCTGTGCCCTGGCCCCGAGCAGTGCCGCCGGCAGCGCCCGCGAGGAAGTCCAGCTCCAGCTGCCCAGGTGGATGCCCACGTCCACGGCCGTGCGCCGGGGCGTCGGAACGACCACGCGCCCCGTAGAAGCGCGGGTGACCTGGGTCACCCGCGGGGGCGTCAAGATTTTTCGTCGGCGGCGAGGCAGAGTCGGCTGCATCAGCACGGAAGCTAGACGGGGCACCGAAAATCAAATTGTACCAGCACGCAAGAGGGGGAGGAGGCAGGGCCGGCGGCCGCACGGGGTGGGAAAGACAAAGCCATTCAGAGGCGGAAGAGTTCTCCCCCGGGGGCGTCTAGACAGTCGTGCTTCGCGCGTCGCGGCCTGGTCCGCGAGGATGCCCTTCTCCTGGGCGGCGGACTTCGGCGGCGTTCGCTTTAGGTGAACGTCGCTGAGCCACAGTGGACGCCCTACCGCCGCGTGCCCCGCCTCCCCCCTGTCCAGACCCCGGGGTGAAGGTATGGAGGGGGAATTAATCCCTCACTCCCCAAAGGGGGAAAGGGTGGTTCGAAAAGGGGCCACTCTGGACAAGTCGCGCGGGGATCCGCAGGAGCGGCTGGGTTGCCCTGAAGCTGACCAACACATCGAACAGTCCACCCTTTGTTTGGAACGACGTTGCCAATTTTGTGCTGGGTTTGTTTGGGCGGTTGTGGCTTCCAGTAGCATCTACCCGGGTTCCTTCACTGGTCCGTTCATGTTGCAGTGACGCGTGAGTTTTTTGCGGGCACGTGGTAGCCATCGTGCGTGATTGGACCATTTTGTCTCCAGAGCTCCAGTTCCTCGTGTGCGCAGTTTTCGGCGCATGTTTCGTGGACAGTTCATAGTTCTCTTGGGCGTGACGGGCCCGGTCTGCGGGGGGCGCGGTGGGGAATTGAAAAGCTAGCATCTCCATCCGCCGCCATGCGACGCCAAATGCACCTCTGGGCTGCATGGCTGGCACAGCAGCGGTGCGGAACAGGGACCCCCCTTTTATAATCGTTGGGAGGGGCCGTTGCTCAGCCAGGCAGCCCCAAGCCCCGGATGCGATGCTGCAAGCAGGTTGCCGCCGAAGTCTGCCGAGTAGCTTGGTGGCCTGAGCTTCTGATGTTCCAACCTAATGTAGCCTTGATCATTGGGAAGAATCTCGAGCACCAAGGAATTACCGAAATTGGCGGGTTTTCACGTGGCGGGCCCTGGGAGGCGATACTCGTTCGACACTGTTTCGATACTTTTCTGGGTGCTCGAAATTCGTTCTGCGATGTGGTCCTTAAGTACGATGGGAGCAACATATGCCTGAGCCAAGTCCCCACGGGCATGACACGTGCAAAAGGCAACCCGAGAGCAGGCAGGTCGCGAGCCGTTAGTGCTTCGAGGAGGGGCTGTCGTGTTCCCAGAACGTTGGCAGCAACTAGCGTCGGAGGGTCTGATTGCGCGCGGTTGTTTAGACAACAGCCGCAGGTATATTGGCCAAATTTGATATGGGATGGGCCCGATTGTCGCGCCAGCGGTCACACTTGTGCTTCACAAGGTGAGAGTTTGGGACACTTGAGCAGCAACCCGCGTGATGGCTGCTCCGTGGTCACATGACAGAGACCAGATCCTCGCCTGCGCCATGATAGCGCGTCCAAGCATGTGCGGCCAAAGGCGCAGCCCCCATCCACATTGCAAACGAGACGAGGCCCTGCTGAGCCTTGGGCCTCGTTGGTAGTCAAAGACTCCCCAAACCTAATAACCTCGGCTGGGTGCTCAACCCTCTCTGACCTGACGCAGGAAAGCTCAGCAGGGACCGCTGACCCAGGTAGGACTGTGCATTCGATACAGGCCAGCACCTGGCCCGCGAGGATAACGGTGGGGCAGCTTCCCCAGCGTCCTCACCCTCCTCCTTCCATCCTGCCTCCTCCTCTTCCTCGTTCTTCCATCGCCTACGGCCTCAGTTCCCCCGCCCCCCCCCCCCCCCCGTGAGTAGATTCCCGTGTATACTTCCCCCCGTCCTCGCTCCCCCATCTTCCCTCCTCCGCCCCCTCTTCGTCCTCCTCCTCCTCTTTGATCCTCCTCCTCCTCCTCCTCCTCCTCCTCCTCCTCCTCCTCCCCCTCCTCCTCCTCCCCCTCCTCCTCCTCCTCCTCCTCCTCTCTCTCCTCCTCTCCTCCTCCTCTCCTCCTCCTCCCCTCCCCCTCCCCCTCCCATCCCCGTCCCTCCCTCCCGCCCCCATCCTCCACCGCCGCCCCGTTACCATCTTTCCCACCCCCTTTGTCCCCCTCCTCCTTCGGGGCTCTCGCTCGGCCGCCGCCTGCGTGGAAGACGCGAGCACAGGGGGCAAAAGGGAGGAGGAGGAGGGGAGGAGGAGGAGGAGGAGGAGGCGGGGGAGGAGGAGGAGGAGGGGGAGGGGGAGGGGGAGGGGGAGAGGAAGAGGAGGAGGAGGAGGAGGAGGAGGAAAAAGAGGAGGAAGAGGAGGAGGAGGAGGAGGAAACATGAGGAGGAGGAGGGGAGGAGGAGGAGGAGGATATTGTAATGAATTGGATTGGATTGGACACGTCAAGAGCAAAGCTGGGCCATCCAGCAACGAAGGCTGGAGGGCAGACCCTGCACCGCTAAGCGGCACACGGCGGCTCTCTAACCAACATGCCAGAAGGCTCAACCCACAGAGAACAGCCACGAAGTGCGAGGCTGGGGCTGTCAGGCGGCAGGCTACAAACCAATTCAATTGAGGAGGAGGAGGAGGAGGAAGAGGAGGAGGAGGAGGAGGAGGCAGGGAGGGAGGAAGGGAGGAAGGGAGGAAGGGAGGAAGGGAGGAAGGGAGGAAGGGAGGAAGGGAGGGGGGAGGAAGGGAGGAAGGGAGGGGGGAGGAAGGGAGGAGGAGGAGGAGGAGGAGGAGGAGGAGGAGGAGGAGGAGAGACGCGTCGGGCGGGGGCTGGGACGAGGAAGCATCCGTTCCACAGAGCGTCCCGGAAGGCTCTCAGAGTGGTGCGGAGCGCTCTGGGAAGGGCGCGGCGCCCGAGGCATCCGCCAGAGCCGCCAGATCTCACAGACTTCATCTTCACCCAATTTTTATGCAAGTGCACGCACTGGACCAGTGCTTGTGCTTGTGCTTGCCTACTGCAGGTCGGCTCTCGTAGTGTTCCTGGTCTGTCTGACGAGCTCTTGTTTCACGCGGAACCCTTGTGGATCACTTCAAGCATTTACATGTTCACCCTCGATGTGGGTATGCCGCCGCTCAACAAAATCCTCACTAACTTGAACCCTCACTAAATTTAACCCTCGCTAATTGTTCATCGCGTATCTAACAACTAAATCCTCACCAAGTTCGTCGCAGCGCGGGCGGCGTGGCAGGAGGCGGCGGCGGAGGGCCGAAGGCCGAGAGCCAGGCGGCAGTCGGAGGCCCAAAGGTTGACACCACCACCAGCATCGGCGGTGTGCCTCCACCGAGGGGAAACGATCCCGATCTCGGTGATGGTGTCAATACTCCTCCTCCTCCTCCTCCTCCTCCTCCTCCTCCTCCTCCTCCTCCTCCTCATCCGCTCTCGGTGGCCGAAGCGTAACCACCGACACCAGAGCCTAGGATTCATCTTCCCCCACGTGGAGGCAAGCCTCCGCGTTGGTGTCGGTGCCCGCTTCCAGGCCTCCACGGCGGCGCTTTGCCGCACGCCCCCCTTTGCGGCCACCCCGCGGCAGGTGGCGGCGATGCGGATGGGCGCGCTGACCCCCGCGAAGCCCGGGAAGTCCAGCCACGGGAGACCCCGCCGCCGCTCCGGGCCCCGCCGTGTCCGGCAGGCGTTCCTCTTGCTCCCCCTCCTCCCGCTTACGTATTTTGCCTCCTCCTCCTCCTCCTTTCAGCCTTTCAGCCTTTAAACTACATGATCCCACGGTGTGAGACCAGCAGCAGAGAGCGAGAGCGAAGCGGGACAGAGTGGGTAACAAAAGTTGGGCAAACACAGCAACCTCAGCCTCTCTGAATGGGGATGCTGCGGCCGAAATATGTCTTGGTGGAGGGGTCAATCCCCCGCTTCAGGAGGGACAGACTATTGGCAGCATCTCGATTTGCTGGATGCCCGAGGCACCTCGCAACCAACTTCAAGATCTTAGCTCTGCCAAAACACCCACACACCGCACAATAGTACAAACGCTGATTCTGGACGGACTCGAGGGGAAACCCGTGCAACTAGTTAAGACCAGCCCCGTGTATGTCCTCGAACGGGACAAACAGATCGTACAGGCAAATCCCTTGCCACAGTGCTGAACCTGATGACCGTTCGGGTTCGGCACTATGAGCAGCACGTTGGGTTTCGCCCTGGGCCTAGCCTTACAATACTCTACATCAGGAAAACGACGCCGCGACCAATGTCCGAGAATCCTCGCCGTATAGCGAGCAAGAGAGGCGAGCCGCTCGGCCTGCCTGGCCTCCAGGTCCTGGAGGTACCGCGAGTGGGGGACCTCGCGGGCAGCCTGCTTGGACAAATAATCGACGGCAAGATTGCCATGCCACGCCCAGGCTGGACAGCCTAGAGCCTCGGCACGCCACCTACTCTTGTGAGCAGGCACCTTAAAGAAAGTGACTGTTTCTGGGCCTCGGTCCAAAATCCGCTCAAAAACTTCTTCCCAAAACTCACCGAAGGGCAAATCCGTACAGTCCTGGAGACACCCTCGGGACCAAACAGAGATAAGAGCTTCAGAATCGATGCCTAATTCAAGATCTCCAGGCCCTGCCTGCCTGAGGATCATGAGCACAGCGTAAATTTCAGCCCCATATATATCCTGTAAGGGGTGGGGGAGCGGTCCTGACGCACTGGCCAAGAGGTCCCCAGCATCATTCATCATGGCGAAAGCCCATCCTGCTCTACTATGCTGCCTAACCTTGGGAGCTAAGACGGAGCCATCGGAGCAAATCTTACCTGAAACGAATCCGTCAGGCGGCGGAACGATCCACCTCCACCTGTCCAGAGTCTTGGGGACGGGGGACCTTATGGTGGGGGAGGTAAGGAGGCAGCGAGTGAGGAAGGGGTCATTAGGGTCCCCACGTTCCCATTCAGGCAGCTCCTTTTCAAAACCTTGGCCTCGTCTAAACAGTTGGTTCCCAGGGCACCTCCTCCTCCTCCTCCTCCTCACCACCACCCTCCTTCTCTGTTCTCCTCCTCCTCCGCCGCCGCTGCCGCCTCCTCCTCCCTTGTGGGTAAGGGCGCTACTCCAGGCTGCTGCGTCTCCCTCCTCATCTGGTAGCTTGTCGCCAGCCGAACTGTAATTCGCAGCGGAGGCGCCAGAGCGTGGATCTCAAAGAATGCTCCTCCTCCCCGTCCTCATCCTTCTCCATCCTCTGCCTCCTCCTCCGCCTCCTCCTCCTCCTCCTCCTCCTCCTCCTCCCCTCCTCCTCATGTGTCCTCCTCCTCCTCCTCCTCACCCTCCTTCTCTTTTCTCCTCCGCCGCCGCCGCCGCCTCCTCCCTTCTGGGTAAGGACGCTACTCCAGGCTGCTGCGTCTCCCTCCGCAGCAGATAGCTTGTCGCCAGCCTAACTTCAAATTGGCGTTGGAGGCACCAAAGCGTGAATATCAAAAAATGATCCTCCTCCCCCTCCCACTCCTCCTCCTCCTCCTCCTCCTCCTCCTCCTTCTCCTCCCTCCTCCGCCTACTTCTCCTCCTCCTCCGCCTCCGGTCGCGTTCGTTGAGTTCCCAAATCGAGTTGAAGTGCTTTTTGAGGCTGTCGACGGGCGTCTGCTTAGACTTCCCAGTGGACGACGTTTACACATAGGCTGGAGATTGGGCCCACCCCTCACATTGTTGTTTGTTTCACGAAGCGCTTCGTTTATATGGCTGTGTAATTGATGCGGCTTGTTGGGTCAAGACCAGTCCATGGGTCTAGCTAAGGCATGCATCGAACCCATATCGAAGACGCGCCGCGAGCATCTAGATCGAATATCTCGCGGGTTGCATCCCAAAGCTTGAGTTTCAGTTTGTTGATATCGCTCTTTTGATAGCGGAATATCATGGAATATCTTCCTCCGCTTATTCCTCCTCTTCCTCCTCCTCCTCGTCCTCCCCCCTCCCTCCCTCTCTCCCTCCTCCTCGTCCTCCTCTTCCTCCTTCTCCTCCTCGTCCTCCTCCTCGTCCTCCTCCTTCTCCGTCTCCGCCTCCTCCTCCTCCCTCCCCACCTCACCCTCCTGGCACCGACGCTGTGGGCATGAAGGTCGGGACGTCGACGTTGCATCCTCCCCCTTTGGGGCGGCCAATCGGATGATGAGGGGGGGGAATATCATGGCCGTGGCCATGCTACCTCCCCGAATATCACGGTGCCTTCTTCACCACCATTGGTCCCCTCTCGTCCGCGCACATTCGTCGGGCAATGAGTTCCGAACCGTTTTCTTGGTTGTCCCCCTCTCAGACGCTCCCCACTCCTCCTCCTCCTCCTCCTCCTCCTCCTCGTCTTCCTCCACCTCCTCTTCTTCCTCCTCCGCCTCCTTCTCATCCTCCTCTGTCTCGTTTCTCCTCCTCCTCCTCGTCCCCCTCCTCCTCCACCTCCTCCTCCTTCTCCGTTATCCTCCTCTTGTTCTTCCTCTTTCTCCTCCTTGTTTCTCTTCCTCATCCTCCTTTTCTTCATCCTCCTCCTCGTCCTATTTCTCCTCGTTTCTCCTCTTCATCCTCCTCATCCTCTTCCTCTCCCACCACATGTGCATGGCAGGCAACTCCGAGGCAACTCCTCATCCTCTTCCCTTTCCTCATCCTCCCCCCTTGTGGGTCACGACGCTACTCTAGGCTGCTGCGTCTCCCTCCGCAGCAGGTAGCTTGTCGCAAGCCGAACTGTAATTGGCAGTGGAGGCGCCAGAGCGTGGATCTCAAAGAATGCTCGTCCTTCCCCCTCATCCTTCTCCATCCTCATGTGTCCTCCTCCTCTCCTCCTCCTCCTCCTCCTCCTCCTCCTCCTCTCCTCCTCCTCCTCCTCCTCCTCCTCCTCCGCCCCTCATCCTTTTCCTCCTCCTCCTTCGCCTCATCCTCCTCCAGTTCATCCACCTCCTCCTCATCTCCTCCCTCCGCACCTCCTCCTATTGACGTTACCACTGTGGGCATGAAGGTCGAGATTTCGACGGTGCATTTTCCTGATCCTTCGGGGGCGACCAAGAGGGTGATCAGGGGAGGGGATATCATGGGTGTGGCCATGATACCCCCCCCCCCCGCGGATGTTACAGTGCCGTCTTCTTAACAGCCAGCTTCGTAGCAGTACCAGTCGTATTGTGTGTTGTTGCAAACAATGAAGTTTTCGGGCCGTGGTCCTCTCTCTCCTCCCCCTCCCCCGTCTTCCGAATGGTCGGCGGGGCTGGGAGGGCGGGGGCGGCGCAAAGTCAGGTGGCGCCGTTCTGACATAACACGTTATGTTTGTGTTCTCCGCTCAAGTTGTTTGGCTCGAGCGTGCCCGCGGAGTTTCCCGCGTTCTCGCCCGAACCCTTCTTCATTTGCTTTCCGCGCGGCAGCAGCGCGGGCAATTCTGAGAGCTCGGGCGGCTCTTCGTGGGTTGGGTTGAGTTGGAGTCCTCCGACGACTGGCAGGTGCTGGTGCTGCCGCCGAGCGCGCTTGAGGGCGCTTGCGAGACGGCGGTCTTCGGGTACTGGCCGTTCGGGCTCGTGGTGTGGTCGTCTTTCTCCGTGGTGATCGGCCTGATCGTGGAGCTGGAGTCGGCCGACGAGCCTGAGGTTCTCGAGATCCAGATGCCAGCGGAGCCATTAGTCTCGCCGGTTCTGTCGCCAGAGCGGTACCGACGGTGTGGAGGTGCAGCTGGTGGGCTGCGAGAGCGGCTACGCGTGGGCCGTCATCGGCCCGGACCTGAGCCTCGATCTGATCTGCGTCAAGGCGAAGATCGCGATCTTCACGGACCCAGTGGAAAGGATTCGCTGGCGGCCGATGCCTCTGCTATCGTCGGTGGAGAGGGACACCTACAGGAGCCAGTTGACGGTGGGCTTGCGATTTTTGACGATGCCGGCGTTGCCCCTATACCGCCCCAGCAGGTGTGGTCAGCGGGCGATGGCGGTGAACGTGTTGCATGCCGTTTTCCATTCGGAGGTTTTGTCTCTCCCGACGCTGAGGAGCCCCGAGCTCTTCCTGGGTGTGCTGGCCGCGTTGTTCGTATTGTCCGAGCCGATGGTGGTGCTGGGTGTGATCGAGTACCCGAAGGAGTTGGGTGCGTACACGATCCGCAACTGGGTCACGGCCAAGCAAGGAAGCGTTCGTGGTGAGCTCGGAGATCGTCCAGGAGTGGTTCGCCTACGCTCGGGAATGGAAGGAGTGGGTGCTGAAGCTCATGCCTCTTCAGCTTTGGCTGATGACGTTCTTGGCCCTGATCCTTCCGACCGTCGGGGAGGTTCACGAATGGTCGGACAGGGGCGAGCATGGGGAGTCTTCTATTGGGTCCTCAACTGCTTCGAGTGTGGATGTGCCCGTCGAGTCGGCAGCCTCCGCACCTCCGCCCCTGCCGCCGCCCGGTTACCCTTCGGGTGGGGAGAGGACGGCGCTGGCGAGTCAGCTGGACGATCTCGCGGAGTCCCCGAAGGCCAGGACGGGGGAGATCACCGAATTCATGACCCCCGCGGCCGCGCGGATGCCGGGGGCAACAAGCTGGTGATCGAGGGCATGATCGCCCGTCTGGACCTGTTCGAGGGCCACCTGAAGGAGGAGGCCCCTGCGGAGGGGAGTGTCGTCGAGAGTGCGGCTGCGATCGAGGGGGCGTTTGCTTCGCCCCCCGCAGTCGTCGCGCCCGGGTCGCCCGCCGCGACCATCCCCACCACAGCGATGGAGACGCCATTGAAGCGAGCTGCCACCTCCCAGCCGGGGGTCGTCGGGCTTGCCGTCAAGCGGATGCGCTTCGAGGGCCCGATGCCGCAGCTGGTGCGCAAGTGGCAGCTGGACGAGTACCAGGAAATCAAGCCCGAGGAGTGGAACCGCCGCAAGCCCGAGGGTTACCGCCTTCGGGTCTCGGCCGAGGTGCTGTCGGGGATCTACTCAGCGAGGAAGACGGCCGATGCCTGGGCGCGCGACTTCATCCAGAACCGTGGGCTGAACGATGGCAACATGGCGCGGGAGGTGATCACGGCCTTCGCCGCGGTGGACACGCCGGTGATGACCGACCGCCAGAAGGGCCTCCTCAACCTGGTGAGCTTCGAGCGGCTGGTGCGAAGGGCGTGCGCTATCGTGATGGTCGACCGCAACATCCACAGCCGCGACGACGAGAGCCGTCTCAATGTCACCGACGAGAGCACTATCCGGGTGATGATCGCCGAGGAAGAGATGAAGAAGGCCATGGGTCGCGACGCGCAGCCGATGAAGGCGCACGCCGACTTAGACGGTGGTGCGGTAGTTCCGCCGCGAGAGTCAAGGAGCTTCAATTGGGGCCGCTCGGTGTCGAGTCGGGGGGGCCCTGCAGCTGGCGTCGCGGGGTCTCTGCGCGTCGGCGTCTTTTGTCTAGTGTATTCTTTCTGCTGCAGCTGACTCGCATCATCGCCGTCGGCTGGCCCGTGAGCTTGTGCGCGCCGAATTTGGGCTTTCAGGTCTCGGCGGCGGGACATCCTGTCCGAGGTGGTGCTGTTCGCTCGCCCGAGGCGGCCTGTTTCGACTTCTCGTCGAGTGCTCTCGCGCTGAGAGGAGGAGATGGAGCGGGGCGAGACGGCGAACCGCTCTCTCTTGGCGTTGCGGCAGCTCTACCGTGGGAGTCGGGACGACAGTCCACTGGGCCTGGCCGACTGCTGGTGCCCGGGGATCGCGTTCGACAACTTGGACGGGGGCCTCTCTCGGCGGGTGCTTGGAGAGGTTGGTCACCAGTCGCCGCCGTCGACTACGCCCTCACAGGGAGCCGCGCCCCTGCGGCTGTGCCTTGCCGCCGCTGCGGCGGGCAATCAGCCCCAGTCTACCTTCAGGCAGAGGGTGGCCGAACTTCGGAGGAGGAGTGCTGGCAGGAGTGGACGGCTGCCAGACAGGGGCGAGACGTTTCCAGATCAATGGTATCGAGTTGCCCCACCTCCGCCGGGGACCAGACCTGCGAGTGCGAGGTCGGTGTCGCCTCGAGCGGCACAGAAGTTGGAGATGTTCAGGGAGGAGATGTTGAGGAAGGATGGCGGGGCTTGCGTTCAGGCCCGCCAGAGACGCAACAACGTGGACCTGCCCTTCCGCCAGAAGACGAAGACGTTGCAGCTGGCCCGAAGGATGGCATTAGCGGGCATGGTGTGCCGCGCTGCAGAGAAGGTGGACGAGGTCGGGCTCTGTCACGTTGCGAAGAAGGCGGAGCCTGTGGAGAACGAGCCCGAGGTGACGCTGAGGTTGGTGTTCGACTAGAGACGTTCCAACCTGCGCTGGCATTCTCCCCCGCGGCGCGCCAGGGGAGGGGCCAGGGCGACGCCGTTCCTGGACGTGTCCGAGGAGAAGAAGGAGGACGACATGAGCGTGCAATTCGGCACGTGCGAACTCCCCGACTTCTACTACACGGTGGAGTTGGGGGAGGAGCTGGCGCCATACTTCGGGATTCACAGCGCGTCGGGCGACGCGCTGGACGCGCTGCCCCCCGAAGGCTCGCCATGGCCTGGGGGCGGCCCCTGCGCCGGGGCGAAGGTCTCTTTGATGGGCTCCACTCGGGCGTGCTGGACCGCGCAGACTACCGTGGAGGACCTCTTCCACGCTGGGCCCCAGGTTGGGTTTTTTTCGCTTTCAGAAGGCCAGCGACTTGCCGAAGGCGGGCCCTTACCTCATCTCAGTCGGGAGCTACCTGCTACGCACGAGGAGTACATCGACGACTTCGGTGTCCTGGGCTTGGGCTTTCGGACCCAGCCTGGCCGGGAGGCAGTGGCGACGGTGGAGGAGGTCTGGCTTGGTGCCAAGGAGTTGGTGGTCGTCGCGGGCTTCAAGGTGCACGAGGATGCCTGCTCGAATTATGCTCGCATGATTGGTAGCGACCTATGGGGAACCCGTCTGGCGCCGAATCAGGACAAGACGGGGGTGGCGGTCTTCGGCGCACGGGAGATCCTGACCCACAAGTGGGAGCTGCCCGACACGGGCGCGCGGAGCGTTGGTATCCTGCCCTGAGGCTTCTTGATCTGCCGTGGTGTGCTGAGCGTCTTCGCGGACGTGCACTCGCGGCGCATGGAGTTCCGGCGGGGAGCTCGACACGAGGTCCTACGGGAAGTGCTGAGGGAGATGGCCGCGGCCGCAGCGATAGCGCCGCTGATCTCGGGGGGCCTCTCGACGCCCTGGGGCCCGACGGTGGCGATGTTCGACGCGAACCTCTGCGGCGGCGCGCTCATCTCGACGGCGGCCACGGTGGAGGAGCAGCGTCGAGAGACCCGCTAGGCTCTTCGAGGAGGCTGGGCCGTCTGGGCAGGTGTCTCCTCGTCCTGGGCGGCGGACGCCTGGTGCGAGGCGGAGGCCTTCAGACGCGTGGGCGGCGACGTGGAGTTGGGCACCCGCATCCGCGTTCTTCTTGTGCACGAGTGATGGGACGACCTCGCCAGCTAGGAGGAGGTTGCTCTCTGGACATGGTAGGAGAAGGAGCACATCGACCTGCTGGAGATGCGCACGGGGGTGGCCGCCGCGAGGCACTCGGCCCACAGCCGTTCGAGCTGGTGCGAGTAGGCCAGTCGCCCCATCCTGATTGTGTGCAGGGGGATGGCCGCCCTCGACCTCGGGCGCGGCATGCGGGAGTACTGGCGCTCGGTGCCGTCGGACCGCAACTGCCGCGACGGGCCGAGCCGGGGGTTCCCGATTGGCCAGACCTCGAAGGAGCGGAGGACGGACGAGCGAGTGCTGCCAGAGAAGGTGGCGTCGAGGATAGAGGCCCTGGCGGACTTTGCGGAGGTAGACCCCTTCCAGCCGCCCAGGATGGGCGTCTCGATCCCGGTGAAGGTGCTGCGCTTCATCCACCGCTGCACTGGCCACACGCACGTCGGGGACCTGGAGGATTGGTTGTTCGGGATATTGGTCTCGCGGGGCTACCTGATGATCTGCGCCGACGTGGACATCGGCCTCGGCGCAGAGTTCGACCGGACCGACGAGGTCAACGTGCGGAGGCTGGAGCTGCAGACGGAAGTGGAGACAGGCGGCGGACATTCATGCCCTTCATGCTCTACCTAGTCGCGGGGTCGCGTCCAGCCTGGAGGCTCGACCAGGGCGGCCCAGGCGCGCTCGGCCGACTTCTGCGGGATGTTGGCGAAGTGCCTCGTGGAGGCGAGGCCGACCCTGCAGGAGAGACGGGGGGCCGACCTGACCGAGAGGGCCGTGGAGCGGTTGATCTCCGAGACCCTGGAGCGCAGGCGTCGAGACTCTACGTCCTTGGAGTCACTACCTGCCTTTTTCCTTCGAGCATCTGGCGGACCTAGGGTGAAGGCCCATCCGCGACGGGTCGGCCACCGCCCCTACCCGACGAGGCTCGAGTTCAAGCTGTGCAAGACTGCGCAGACATGATGGAAGACCTACGGGACTGGGCTCATCGGTGGCACAGCGACCTCGCGCAGCGGGCTACTTACAGCACCGAGTGGCGGGACTGGCGCGTGGCTTTCATGACGGATCTAATTCTGAGTGGGGCCGACGAGGCCAAGAGCCGTCTGCTCATCGACGGGCCCCCTCGCCACGCGGTCGCGGACGTCATCAGGGACCTCTGCAGCAGCGCGGGGAGGCTTCGTTACCACGATCAGCATCGCAAGAGGGGCAACGCCCACCGCAGGAACGACGCGGAGCGCTTGCACCTGCAGCGGGCGCCGCGGAGGGAGGGAGTGACCCATGGGCTGGCCCTCCTGCCGTTTTCGGTCTCCACCATGACGGCGCTGGGCTGCTACGTTGCCGACGCGCGCCGCTGCCTGGGCTTTGCGCTGGGGGGGGGCCTGCTGATGATGAAGCGGGAGGAGATCGGCGACGCGGTCCCTGGCTACTTGGATCGCCTGGTCGAGGACGAGGAGGCGGGCTCGCACAAAGGAGATTTCGTGGTGCACGGCCTCGCCTCACTGCGGCGTGAGCGAGCTCTCGACAGGGTTGCCCAGGTCCAACCGAGCACTTCGAGCTTGGGATCGATTGCGCGTGGCAGGAAGCGGACCTCACCCCCTCGAGCACTGGGCCGTGATGGACGAGGTCATGAGGCTGGTCGGGATCGTGGGGGCCTCGGACGCCGCCGAGCTCGGCATGGACGCCCACCTCAGTCGGCGTCACCCCAACATACTTCTACTATGTGCGCGTCGCCTCCCCAGGGGCGACGCGCGCACCGAGAAATCTTATAGTATATGCGTCGTGGCGGGCGCTTTCTGGCCACACCGCTCGGGAAACAATATACTACAAGATGGGCATACTAGATGCTCGGGTCGGACGCGCGCCTCCAAGGCGGACATATAGCATTAGTATGTCTCTGTGCTTCCCACTCAGGTCCGGGGAGCTGTTCGCCCCCCAGCCGGCCGACGCCGTGACCGATGTGGGCAGAGCGGGTGAGCAGGTCGTGGCTCTACGACTCGGCGTGGCAGAGCGCGGCGAGGGGACCAAGATGGGCGCGAGGCAGGGTGTGCTGATCGACCATCGGCATGTGAGTGACATGTGCGCGCGCAGGAAGGCCGAGCGAGGCCTCCCGGACCGGGTCGCCAGCTGCTCTGTGGACGCCTACCGCCGTGCTCTGAGGCATGCTTGCGGCGACGTTGGCGTCGAGCGTCTCCCGCCCCACGCAGCCAGGCACTCAGGTCCGAGCCATGATGCGGCGACGGGCGACAGGACAGCTTGGGCTATCCAGCGGCGCGGGCGGCGGGCGTCGGAGAAGAGCGTGCTCAAGTACCTGAAGACGCACGCTCTGCTGGCCGCCCGCGTCGATCTCCCGCCAGACATCCTCGAGCGCGGGGGGCAATCAACGGAGAAGAAGAGCTGTCGCCCGGCAAGGGCTCGTGAGTGATGCAGTTTGCGCAGTTACTGATCTCATGATTTGTCGGAGCCTCATCGAGGCAGTGAACGTGCGATGGCTTCTGGAGGGAGGCGCCAAAGACCCTCCCACCCAGCCCAAGCGCCACCAACAGCCAGGCGCTAATGCAGACTAAGCGGTGGTGTGGGACAAGATACGGCGTCCGCTTCAATACATTTCTTTGTGCTCGGACGCCGCCGTCACATTTCGCCGCCGCCCGTGGCGGCATCGTGCTTGCGGTTCAGGTAGAAAAGAAAGCGTGTTTCGATTCAGGCTGGCGCCACCTTCCGCCGCCCCCTGCTTGGAGAGAGTTGGTGACCTCGTGCCTCTAAATGTGTGTTGTTGCAAACAATGAAGTTTTCGGGCCGTGGTCCTCTCTCTCCTCCCCCTCCCCCGTCTTCCGAATGGCCGGCGGGGCTGGGAGGGCGGGGGCGGCGCAAAGTCAGGTGGCGCCGTTCTGACATAACACGTTATGTTTGTGTTTTCCGCTCAAGTTCCCCCTCCCTCCCTTCCCTCTTTCGCTCCCCGTTCGCTCGCCTCTTCACAGCTCTGTGGGGGCAAGATACGGCGTCCGCTTCAATACATGTCTTTGTGCTCGGACGCCGCCGTCACATTTCGCCGCCGCCCGTAGCGGCATCGTGCTTACGGCTCAGGTAGAAAAGAATGCGCGTTTCGATTTAGGCTGGCGCCACCTTCCGCCGCCCCCTGCTTGGAGAGAGTTGGTGACCTCGTGCCTCTAAATAATAGTTGTACTGGCATGAGGAGTAACATGTTTTAGTGGCTTCGGCCATAGTATATGTAGTACTGGCAGTATGTATAGTGTTACTGGTAGTGTTCGCAGCGTACTACCACTTAGCCAGTTATCAGTATGCATAGTACTAGTAGAAGCAGTAGTATTAGTATCGGCGTTGTTGGTCTTAGTCGTAGTAGTAGTAGTAGTAGTAGTACTAGTACTAGTACTAGTACTAGTACTAGTCCTAGTAGTAGTAGTAGTAGTAGTAGTAGTAGTAGTAGTAGTAGTAGTAGTAGTAGTAGTAGTAGTAGTAGTAGTAGTAGTAGTAGTAGTAGTAGTAGTAGTAGTAGTAGTAGTAGTAGTAGTAGTAGTAGTAGTAGTAGTAGTAGTAGTAGTAGTAGTAGTAGTAGTAGTAGTAGTAGTAGTTAGTAGTAGTAGTAGTAGTAGTAGTAGTAGTAGTAGTAGTAGTAGTAGTAGTAGTACAGTAGTAGTCGTAGTAGTAGTAGTAGTAGTAGTAGTAGTAGTACTAGTACTAGTACTAGTACTAGTACTAGTACTAGTACTAGTACTAGTAGTACTAGTAGTACTAGTAGTACCGCTAGTATGAGTAGTGCCCGGATTAGTATTAGTAGTGTCGGTGTTGCTAGCGCTAGCATTGTTTCCAGTGTGCGTTGTATTAGTTGTTGGATGTGGCATTCCAGGCTCCGTATTAGTATGCGTACGGTTGTATTGTTGTTAGTGGTGTTCTTAGTATGTTTAGTTTGGTTATTCGTGGTAGTATTCGTTCATAAGTCGTAAAATCAGGAGTAGTAGTAATGGTTCTCTTGGTAGTAATAATGTTCTCTATTAGGTAGTTATTGTTATTTGTGGTAGTAGTGGTAGTGGTAGTAGTAGTTGTTGTTGTAATAGTAGTAGCATAAGTAGTCGCAGTGGTAGTAGTAGTTGTAGTAGTAGTTGCGGGGTAGTAGTACTCGTAGTAGTACCAGTAGTAGTAGTAGTAGTAGTAGTAGTAGTAGTAGTAGTAGTAGTAGTAGTAGTACTAGTACTAGTACTAGTACTAGTAGTACTAGTAGTAGTAGTAGTAGTAGTAGTAGTAGTAGTAGTAGTAGTAGTAGTAGTAGTAGTAGTAGTAGTAGTAGCAGTAGTAGGAGTAGGTAGGAGTCAAGCTAGCCAGCTCGAGCGAGTCAAGCATGGCATGCCCAGTCCCACCCGCCCTCCCACAACATAAGAAGCAAAGCTGGCACAACTGGGGGCCGAAGTCACACCGGCCAGCCGGTTTGGTACAGCTGATGCGGCCGCGATGGCGGTTGCCGACGGGAACTGGCGAGCGCGTGTTGAATGCCGCGCACGCATTGCCAGACGAGTCGAGAATGGCCCGGTACACCGCAGGAAGCCTGAAGGCCCCAACTTGTACTGTTTTTTTATAAAGGGGGGGTTTGGATGGGCGGGCGCGGGGTGTGCGCCGCATCCCATTCCTGCCAAGCATTTTGCGACGTGGACGACAGGACGTCCATGCTGAGAGGAAAAACGTTGGTGCGCGGCGCCGAGGCGAGAGCGACATGTCACCCCTTCGCGCGGGGTGTGCACCGCGTCCCATTCCTGCCACGCATTTTGCGACGTGACGACAGCACGACCATGTTGACAAGAAAAACAAAAACTGTGTATTGTCTTTTGCAGATTAGAATGGGACGGATTGGATGGGCGGGCGCGGGGTGTGCGCCGCGTCCCGTTCCTGCTATGCATTTTGCGACGTGGACGACAGGACGTCCATGCGACGGTGCCAATGACGGCGACGACTCTAGAAGGATTTGAGCATACGCTCGCGGCGACGCGCGCGCATGTCGCCCGCGTGGTATTTGTTGCACAGGATTCGCGGCCTGGGTGCATGACAAAGCATCGCGAGTGCACCGCGCGATGACGTGAAATCGCTGGATTTGACAGAATTCTTAAGAACCCTATGGTTTTCCTATGATTTCAGCAAGAGAGCCGGGCAGGAAAATTGTAGAATTCTTGTGAAAAAAAAAAAAAAACATTGGGTTTTTGATGTGTTTATGTTGAAATGCTTGCAAACACACGGTGTTCGGTAGGATTATGACATGAACGCGCGCGTGTGCTCTTTGTGGTATTTTTTGTAATGGTTTATCGCCGTGGACGACAGGACGTCCATGTCGAGAGGAAAAAATAAGAAACATGTTGATTTTGTATTGTTTTTGACAGGTTCGGATGGGACCACCCGGATGCGGCCCCTATCGGCCGGCCTGAGGGGGGAGTAGGAGTATATTCTAATAAGAAATAAGGATAGGAGGAGGTAGTAGTAGTAGTAGTAGTAGTAGTAGTAGTAGTAGTAGTAGTAGTAGTAGTAGTAGTAGTAGTAGTAGTAGTAGTAGTAGTAGTAGTAGTAGTAGTAGTAGTAGTAGTAGTAGTAGTAGTAGTAGTAGTAGTAGTAGTAGTAGTAGTAGTAGTAGTCGTAGTAGTAGTTGTTGTTGTCGTCGTCGTCGTCGCCATGGTAATAGTAGTAGTACTAGTAGGGAAGTAGTAGCAGCAGTAGTAGTAGTAGTAGTCGTAGTAGTAGTCGTAGTAGTAGTCGTAGTAGTAGTAGTAGTCCTCGTTGTCGTAGTAGTAGTAGTAGTGGTAGTAGTAGTAGTAGTAGTAGTAGTAGTAGTAGTAGTAGTAGTAGTAGTAGTATAGTTTAGTAGTAGTAGTAGTAGTAGTGGTAGTGTAGTGTAGTGGTAGTGTAGTGGTAGTGTAGTAGTAGTAGTAGTAGTAGTAGTAGTAGTAGTAGTAGTAGTAGTAGTAGTAGTAGTAGTAGTAGTAGTAGCAGTAGGTAGTAGTAGTAGTAGTAGTAGCAGTAGTAGTAGTAGTAGTAATAGTAGTAGTAGTAGTAGTAGTAGTAGTAGTCGTCGTCGCAGTGGTTGTAGCAGTAGTAGTCGTAGTAGTAGTAGTGGCATTGCAATCATTTGTAGTACCGGCTTAGTGTTAACAATATGTCAGCACGTCCCCTGGTCCCCGTCTCGTCCGCGCACGCGCGTGGGGCCATGATTTTCTTGGGTGGCTCATCGTTGTTTTTCTTCTCTTTCTCATCACCCATCTCCTCCTCCTACCCTTTTCTCATCCTCCTTCAGCCCCTCCTTGTCAGGCCTCCAGACGGGGTCCGCGTAGATTGGGTCCGAGAATCCCGCCGCATCGCCGATGCATCGGCGATGCGGCTCGATGTGGGGTCCGATTTTCTTCACGCCGACGTCGCCGATGTATCGGCGATATGCCGGGATCCGCCGACTCCATCCGGCCCCATGTAGGAAGATGGTGTCCTGCGAGCCGCCGTCTGGACAACGAGAAACATACGAAATAGCGGTAGCAAAAGAACCACGAGCTTCCATGCCCGATTCGACGCGCAGCATACGTACGGTGTGTTTTGGGGAGTGTTCTCTCCTGTGCAATCGGCCGTCTCCTAGTGGCAGTGGCGACAGATCGTTTGCGCGCGGCGACCTACAACCCGTTGCGGGCGTCCCACGAGCGCCACGACTGTACACCCCCAGTCGGCCTCAGAGGAAGAGTGGTCTGCGCCCGACTGTAGACGAACGAAGCCGATATAGTGATGCCCAGCGTGTGCGTGTGTGTTGCATATGCGCCTGGCAAACAGCACCTTCTGACAATAACTATCAGTCACCAGGTACGTGGGTGTTGCCGATGGCGGTGCCGCGAGACAGATGCCTGACACGTCATGGGTATGTGAACGTTTATCAGATATGTTTTGTCTGTTGGCCCTCGGCACAGATGTATACAGATGTGGTTGAGTCTGTTTTTGGAGATACTGTTACATCTAGCAGCCAGAGTGGCGAAAGCAGGCATGGTGTCTCTGGTGCCCCGTGACGCGACGATGATAACGAACTTGACCCCCTTAATTTGGATAGCAATTCCGAGACTGTGGTTGCTGACGACGACGCCATCGACGGCGTTGTGCGCTCATGGATTGTTGCGCAATGCTTGGCGAGCATCAAAACCTGAGACGTGTTGCAAGCCGGTCTGTTCCAGTTTGGCCCGTTGGGCTGTGTCTGCAAGGACCGCATTCGCACATTGGTTGCCGATATCACCGACGAGGGTCCGCCGAGCCGCCAGCGAGGGCAGTACTGGCACGGCCTCGGGACAGCGCGCCACGGCGAGGAAGCGCACCAGAGGGTGGAAGCGGAGGGGCAAAACCCAACACATTCTTTTCTTATTCCTCCTCCGCCTCGTCGTCCTCCTCCTCCTCCTCCTCCTCCTCCTCCTCCTCCTGGCCCCCCCCCATTCTGCTCCTACTCCCCTCGTCCTCCCCTCCCCTCCCCCAGCCCAGCCTGCCCCCTTTCTCTTGGGCGTGCCGCGGGAGCGAGCACTCGCTGCGCCCGCGCCGGCCCACGCTCCGCAAGCCCCCGACGCCCCTCCCACAGCAGTGGCAACCCAGCCCAACCTTCGGGTAGGAGATCGAATGTTGAATTGGTTTACCCCGAAATTGATTTGTTCGTCGAAGTTTGACACATCTACGACGTGTCTTTTTTAAATTGTGTCGCAAGATTCGGCGAAACTATAATTTTGGGGCTAATCTTATGTAGGCGATCTCCTAGTCGAAACCTGACCCCTGGACATCCGGCTGTTCCAATCTTCTCGATGCGCGGGCCCTGGAGGTAAAGACCCTCTTCCCTAGGGCCGGCTGAGTCGTTGTTTGACGTTCCAGGGGCTGGCAAAGGCCTCCACAGGCCGAAAACGGCCAAAAACCGCCCGCTCCAATTTTTGTTTGATCGTCGGATCTCTGGGCCCTCCTCCCCCCTCCCCCAGAAGCGCGCACCGCCCCCCGACCCCTGCACAAGGAAGGACACTGGAGCGGGAGGGCACGCCCGGACCCTGAAGCTCAACCCGCTGATCTGACCCGCGCTTGCCCGTTGCCCCAATGGAGGAGGAGGAGGAGGAGGAGGAGGAGAAGGAGGAGGGGGGGGAGGAGGAGGAAGAGGACGACGAGAAGGAGGAGGACGAGGAGGAGGACGAGGAGGAGGACGAGGAAGGAGAGGAGGAGGCGGAGGAGGAGGAGGAGGAGGACGAGGAAAAGGGGGGGGACAGGAGGAGGAGGAGGAGGAGGAGGAGGAGGAGTATGTTGGGGACGTGCCTAAAGCCAGGGGGTCCAGGATCGAGAACCGAGCACCCACAAAAGTTAGGCTGGGCGGGGGTCGCCTGACAGGAAGACGAGAAGAAGAGGAGGAGGAGGAGGAGGAGGAGCTGAGAGGAGGAAGGAGGATGAGGACCAGTGTAAACCCAAGAGTCATCAACGATGTTAGGATAAACCCTCCCTCCAAGCTCCCTCGAACTGCCTCGTTGGAAGACAACCGTTTGAAGACCCTGAAGCATGCCGAAATATTGTTCTCGGGATTCTAACGCCACGGATTAACCTGACTGTTGCGTCTTGACGATCTTGAACCGATCCAGAACGCCATGCCTGGGATTGCAAGACCGCGAATCAGAGTAACTGCTGCGCCCACATAATCTTGAATCTCTTCAAAACACCATTTCTGGTACTACATTGACCATGGGAATCCGTGAAACTCTTGCTTGAAAGTGGGTGTGCGCGGCGCTGAGGCGAGAGCCACATGTTGAAAAGGAACCGCCCTCAATCCGTGAAGCTCTTGCAACTGTTTAAAACGAACGTGCGCGGCGCTGAAGCGAGAGCCTCATGTTGAAAACCAGCCGCCGTCAATCCGTGATCTGTTTGCAAATGTGTTCAACGAATGTACGCAGCGCTAAGGCGAGAGCCACATTTTACAAACAGTCAACCCTCAATCCGTGGAACTCTTCCAAAGTTTGAAATCGAATATGCTTGGCGCTAAGGCGAGAGCCAAATTTTGAAAACCACCCGCCCTCATTCCGTGAAGCTCTTGCAATTGTTTAAGCGAATGTGCGCGGTGTTAAGGAGAGAACCGCATTTTGAAAACGACCCGCCCTCCATCTGTGAAGCTGTATGTTTAAACTACAGGGTCTTAAATGGTGAGGAAGTCTCAGGCGAAACGCCCGACCAGCCCTGAAAATAGACTTCGGGGTGCGACAGGGAGAAGTCAAAAGGAATGGAGGAGAAGGAAGAGGCGGAGGAGGAGGAGGAGGAGGAGGAGGACGAGGAGGAGGCGGTGGAGGAGGAGGAGGAGCTGAGAGGAGGAGTGGGAGGAGGAGGGGGGGCGGAGGAGGTGGAGGAGGAGGAGGAGGGCGGCAATCGACGATTTTTCACGCTTTCAGGAATCAGGAGGAGGAGGAATTGAGAGAGGTTCTGGGCTCTTATCCCCTCCCTGCGAAACTCATCATTTCATTATCGGCCCCTCTCTCGCTTTTTGCTCCTCACCCTTCTCCCTTCCTCCTCTCTCTCTCTCTCTCTGTCTCGCCCACCCTCCCTCCTCCCCCCTGCCTCCCTCCCTCTCTTCCCCCCCCCCTTTGTCTATCTCTCTCTCTCTCTCTCTGTTCTCCCGTGGACGGTCCCTCCGCCAGGGCGGTGGCGATGGTAGTGATGATGTTGGCGTTGGTGGTTGGGGGGGCCACAAAAACGAAAACCACAAAAAAACAATAGTGTTAACAACAATCAAGAAGCTTTTTTTGTTTGCCCCCCCCCGACCACCAATTGACCACCACCAACGGCTCTGGTCGCAAGGGAGCGGTGCCAAGCCTGCACGGTGCCGCGCCGTTCTAGAGTGCTCCGGAGCACTGAAGGGGCTCTCGGGGCAGTGAGATGCCAACACACCGCGCTGCAGCGCGATCGCATTGCATTGCATTTCATCCGCATTGCATTGGGTTGTTACCGTAATGCTCGAGGACAGTAGTCGTACCCTCGAACTCCAGTGTTTCAGCGGTGGCGCTGTAGGAAGAGCGCTGTACCATTGGGGAGTACTGCTGTACTGCTGTAGCAGTGCAGTATGCTAGTACAGTATTTGTACGAGTGGCACTCTACTATTCCTTGCAGTGAGTGTACTATTGCATTGTCGTAGGAATATTCAAATTCCGTAGTATCGCAGCACTGTTGTAGTATTATAGTATTGTAGTGTTGTAGCGGTGACACTGTAATAGGCGTAGTACGATACTCTAGCAGAAGTACTGCAGTAGCGGTACTCTAATACTGTACTGGTGGTATTTTCATACCGTGCTAAGCCAGTAGTAGTAGTAGTAGTAGTAGTAGTAGCATTGCATAATGAAGTGGCAGCGCTGTGGTAGTCATGTAGTTGCAGTGGCACTACCCAGGTCTTGCGGTACAGGTCATACTCTAGTATTTGCTGTAGCAATCGCACTGTAGTATTATAGTAAACGTAGTCCACTGCTGTAGTGCTTGGGCACAGTAGTGTCATCATCGTTCTCCACTACGTTTAGTGGTAGCGCGGTAGGAATAGTGCTGTACTAGTGTAGAGTAGTGCTGTACTGGTGTAGTAGTGGCGCTGTAGAAGCAGTACCCAGAAGCAGTACTCTAATAAAGTATTCGTAAGAGTAGTGCTGTACGATCATCTGCAGTGGGTGTCGCAGCAGTGTTGTAGTATTCTCGAACTGCGGTGCTGTAGTGGTGGCACGGTTCTAGTCGTAGAAAGTACTCTAGCAGTCGTATTGCAGTAGTGGTACTCTAGTATTGTACTGGTGGTATTTTGATACCGTGCTAAGCCAGTAGTAGTATTGCACGATTGAAGCGGCAGCACTGTAGTAGTCCTGTCGTTGTAGTTGTGGCATTATTATTATTATTAGTAGTAGTAGTAGCAGTAGTAGTAGTAGTGGTTCTAGTAGTAGTTCTAGTAGTAGTAGTAGTAGTAGCAGCAGCAGCAGCAGCAGCAGCAGTAGTAGTAGTAGTAGTAGTACTAGTACTAGTACTAGTACCAGTAGTAGTAGTAGTAGTAGTAGTAGTAGTAGTAGTAGTCGTCGTCTGGCCTTGCAGTATATGTCATAGCCTCGTGCTTGCGTTAGTAGCCTGACTGTCGTATTGTATTAGACGTGGTCCACTATTGTAGTGCCCGGGCATTGTAGTAGCACCTTCGAACTCGAGTGTTTTAGCGGTCGTGCTGAGGAGAGAACGCTGTACGATTGGAGAGTGGCGCTGTACTGTTGCAGCAGTGGCGCTGTAGAAACAGCACTGTAGTACAATAGTCGTACGGGTGGTACTTTACTGTAGTACAATATTCGTATGAGTGGTTCTCTTCTATTGCCTGCAGTGGGTGTGCCGTGCTATCGCAGCATAGCTGTAGTACTATAGCACTGTAGTGCTGTAGTGGTGGCGCTGTAACAGTCCCAGCACAATACTGTAGCATTGCAGCAGTAGTACTGTACTGGTCGTGCTTCGGTACCGTGCTAAGCCAGTAGTAGTCTTGCATTAATGGCATGGCAGCACTGTAGGTGTCCTACAGTTGCAGTGGCAGCATTCAGGTCTTGCAGTAAATATTATAATCTAGCGTTTGCTGTAATAGTCGCGCGGTAGTATTGTAGTAGAAGTAGTGTACTACTGTAGTTCTCGAGCACAGCAGTAGCATCCTCGAACTGCAGCGGCTTAGTAGTAGCGCTGTGAGAAACGTGTTGTATTGGTGTGGAATCGTGCTGTATTGTAGTAGTGGCACTGTAGAAGCAGGACTCTAGTGAAGTATTCGTTTGGGCAGTGTTGCACGGCTGTCTGCAGCGATTGTGCCACAGTGCTGTAGTAGGAATTGCCCAACGCCGTATTATCGCAGCACTGCTGTAGTGCTTCAAGGTTGTAGTGCTGTAGTGGTGACACAGCAATCGTCGTCGTACAGCAATGGGGCAGCAGCATTGCAGTAGCGGTACTCTTAGAACTGTACAAGTAGTATCCTGTTATTGGCGGTAGTAGTAGTGGAGCTCTAAAATTGGGGTACTCAAGAAGGGTAGCCATACCTTAGTACTGTAGCGCCGTAATAGTATTGTATGAGCAACATTAGATTGAAGTCGAAGTAATACTCTGGTACAGAAGTAGTGGTAACACTGTAGTGGTGGCTAGAGGAGCAGCACTCTATTGCAATACGTTGGCAGTGTAGCAACATCACAGTATGGCCGTGCTGTTGTAGTCGTAATAATATTATGGGGCGTAGTAGTAGTATAGCATGTTAGTTCTAGTACTGTTGTAGTAACGTCGTAGTAATAGTACCCGGGTGCTGTAGTAGCAATAGTAGAGTTGATATTCAGGCTAGTTTTCGGTGGCGGTTGAGGCTAGGCTCAGGCCGAGGCTTCGGCTGAGGCTTAGATTGAGGCTGAGGCTTACGCTAGGCTGAGGCTGTGGACGGGCTTCGGCTAGGCTAGTTCAGGCGGATGTTTCGGTTAGGCGGAGGTTGGTGCTTAGGCTTAACTTCAGGTTCAGGCAACGCTTCAATGCTCAGGCTGAAGTTTAGGCTAAGCCGAGGCTTAGACTTAGGCCAGGCTTAGGCTAGGCAGAGGCGGGGGCTGAGGCGGAGGCTGAGGTTAGGCTGAGGCCGAGGCTACGCTGAGGCCGAGGCTGAGGCCTATGTTCAGGCTAGGTTTCGGCTAAATTCTGGTTGGGGCTTACGCTAGGCTAGGCTAGGGCTTAACTTTAGGCTGATGTTTAGGTTGAGAACGGCGGAGGGAGAGAGAGAGAGAGGAAAGAGAGAGAGGGGAGGCAGCGCCGAGGAAAAACACAGCGGGTATACCGCGCCGATACCAGCAGCAAGTTGACGACGCGCTCCGCCTCCCACAAACAAAATCCTTCAAAACGCAGGGGGTGGATTCGAGCCCTGAACCGCTGACAGGACCCTCCCACCCATCCCTTCCCGGGACACTGATGTCGTTCTATCCGCCCACTACAGGGTGCACTAGGGGATGATGATGCACAGTCAGAGGGAGGTTTTGGCGGATGAGGAGGACGAGGAAGGAGGGGGAGGAGGAGGAGGAGCAGCAGCAGC